GGCGTGCGATACTGTTCCCCGTAAACCACCGCGCTTGTGCTGTTGATTGCTATCGCTGTATTCTGTTCTGGTTGTGACACTGCGTGTGTCCGGGCATTACAGCTGTAAGGCGTTATTTCCAAGTGGTTGGGCTCGCTGGGCCTGTTAATAGTCGTAACGGGTTTTGAACCGGCAGTCTGTTAGAATTGACCAAAAGGTGCCTTTGGTTTTGACAGGAAAAGTACACCTGGATTTTTTTTTCTTTGTATCAAGTAACACGATACAGATCCTCTTGGAACATAGAGGTGTCTATAATGTCACTATTTGAAATGCATAAGCAAAACAGGGGAAACTGTTTTGGCTTTCATTTGCACACAGCGGAAGCCTGCAGTCACGCTGAGGTGCACTTCTGTGGGGAGAGCTTCATAAAACCCCTTCTTAAAGCTGAGCAGAAGTGGTCATCTTGGTGTGCTGGGCAAAAGCACGCAGATTTTGACTGGAGAACCTTAATCAAATTAGAACTTATTTGAAGTGGAAAAACAATGCCACAGCGATGATGGAAACTTGCCGCTCAGTTGCTGCCTAACTATGAAAATGTTTAAACTCTGTGGGAACCACAGTTCTTGATCTTAACAGTTTTGTGGGCACTGAAGCTCTCTCCTGTAGCAGTCCTGTGCAGGACTGGCTTTGTCCTGGCAGAGCAGGGCTGCTCGGCTGCCAAGGGCCATGCTCAGCATCCTAAATGAGGAGCTCCTCTCAGAGCCACGTTAGTGTCTTGCTCAGGTAGAGGTTCTCAGAGCGCGTCTGAAACAGTGGAAGCCCTGACTTTTTCTTTCAAGTGCAGCAGTGGCAGCATGTGCCTTCGTGCTGTAAGTTTGGCACTAAAGCACATACCAGGGCTTGCTCTTCCCCTTCCCAGACTTTTACTCGGGAAGATTCAAACAGAACTGTGCTTCCCCTGGTGACTGTGCTGTAATCACCGGGTCACTCAGAGGATATGGGATGATCCATTTTCCCCTGCTGGGGTTTGAACTAAGTCTCTTGTTACCCCTGTATGCCTTGTCTCCTGCTGTCAGGAGTAGCCATGTCATATTCTGTCTGTCTCTCTCTTCTCTCTTTCCCCCCAACCTTGTCCTCATCTTCCTGGATCAGTTCTTTTTTACTCTTTTTAAAAGATGTGTTTATTTGCTCTCCTCCTTGTTTGTTATTCCTCTCCTCCAGAGCACCTGTGCAGTGGGTTTCCTTGTACATCTGGCAAGGTCAGAGTTGTCTGTGTCTGACATTTGAGACTTTACCTTCTATTAATTAATGGAATTAATACACCTGTGGCAGTGTTACTTTGAAATAGTTTAGTATCTGCTTCTTTTCTGAAGTATCAGACAAGAGCTGTCTGTCAGCAATGCTTGGAAAATGATTCATCTCCGAATCCTTTCCAGTTTGGCGGGGCTTACGGCAAAAGCACAGTTTGACCTACTGAATCTTCTCTCATTTCTATTGCCTGTAAGAGATTTGGGCTCGTGTAGTTTTACCTCTCATCTTTCAACTGCTGAAACTCTGCTGCTGTACAGAGAAAAAATTGAAGATGTTCTCTTTCTTTGTCTGAGAAGCTTTAAAGTACCAATCTTGAGGTGAAGAGCTGGAGTGGACAACTGAGAAGTTACTAAGAAGTTACTTTCTGCTCTGAGTTGCATCTGAGAAGCTGTACTTAACACACCCCATCTGTAGCTTTTTGTCTGTGCAGCTCAGCGTGCTTGCCTTCCAAAATGTTTGGAGGCTTCTGTTCCAAGTATCTCGCTAGGGCTCTAGGGTTCTGGGTATTTATTCTGGATATTTTTTTCTTCGTTGTTGTTTTTGTTTGGAATGAACCAAAGTTCAGTTGATCTTTAAGTATCTGCCTTACCTATGATCAAGCACTGGTTTGAAAAATAATAGAGACTGAATTGGTACAAGCTTTCTAAAGGCCTGATGCTTTATATTCAAGAGATTAATTGCAGATTATTTCATTATGAAGGTGATTTTATAATCATAGAATTTTATAAGCATAGAATTTAACTGCTGAACTTCCTCCCAAATTGTGAGAAAAATAATTTCCCTCTTCTAAAACAGATTTTTTGAAATGCCATGGTGTAAATGTAATTTATGATGGGAAGTTTTATAATTGTGTCTCTTAAAGCTCCAGAAATCCCTTAGAATACATCCTGTGTCTGAGAACAGAATATAATGAAAGTCAGCATTTTTATGCTTGTTGGCCAAGGTGCAATCACTTTATAGGATTTTAACTGTTTAATGATTTGGGTTCTTTTAAGATGGAGCCAAATTTAATGCTCTGCAGTTCTTGGAGGGAAGATTTGATGCTGTTCAAAACCATGCTTTGCTGCTTTGGTGGTAAAGTAACATTTCTAGATCAGAAGTTTGCAGAGGATACTGAAGTAGCACTTCTAAATCAAAAGGTTGCAGAAGAGGACTTGCTAGTGTTCTAGCAGCAGATGCAACTCCCTTTGCAAACAAAGCTTTAGCAAAACAGGTTTTTCGTGTAGTGTTTATATTCTGATGAAATTCCTTTTTTTCCAAGTGCAAAACGATCCTGTTGAACTTTCAAGCTGTTTCTGCTAATCATGAATTGAGGTTATGCCACCTGTTAGGATTGTCTGTAATTAGTAACGATGAAAGTATTTGTATTTCTTGGTGTTCTATATGTTTTGTGGTTTACATGGAAGGTGCAGTATCTGAGTTTTTGTTTTGTTTCCTAACCTTTCCAGCGTTATCCATGTTTGGAACCACGGTTGGTCTGTACGGGATACCCTGGTGTAAGAAATCCCTGCTGTTGACTGCCTTAATGTCAGTTATTGGAGCTTCCATGGGAATCCTAGACACAGGTAAGGGACCTCGTGGTCCGATAGTTCCTTCACCAAACCAATTGGAAACTTCCAGCTCCCCAAAACTGTTGCTGGTATTTCATGAGACGCAGCTCGAATTTCAAGAGGGAGCTGATTTACCTGGCTGGGATTCGTGGATTATTCTGGTGCTGAGACCCCCAGTGTTTGTGTCTCTGTAACTGGCCGTCCGTCAGGGCCGTGGGGAGCTGGGGATCTCGTGCTTCCCGGAGGAGATCAGTCTGCATTTCAGTGGGCAACTACAGACATAAAGAAAGTGTTACGTGCTCTTCAAACAGGGCTTTCTTGAAATTAGTCATCTGCAGGAAGCTGGTCAGGTTATGGTTCATTAGGGCCAGCTTGGAACTAAGTCCTGAGCAAGCCCCATCACTCCCTGAATTAAAGAATATTATTTGGCCAGCCTCACGTAGGTGTTTAGGAGTGCAGATTTATTCTGTGCCCCAAATTGTAAGTCTGTGGCATGTGCATACTGCAGACGGACTGGGAAAAACCACTTCTGCTGGAAACCTGTTGAAAACCAGTTTCTTAGAGAAGGCACCTTACTGGAGGAAGGTGTAGCAGTGAAGTTGCAGAGCCTGCAGGAAAGGTCAGTTACAGCAGAGATCTGACAGACTCCCACGGCAGTCGGTTCCCTGGGCATGGCTTAGAAAGTGCGAGTTAGTGACGGGTGGCTGTAGTTTGGAGGCGAGGCCACAGCAAGAGTCCTAAGCACACTCAGACACCACTGGGCAGCACTGGCAAACTTGCAGATGGGGACCAGGACACAACCAAAAATAGGTAAGCGGTGGGGTGTTGCTGTAGGAGGTGGCGGTGAAGGCGCAGGCAGCTGCTCTGCAGTGAGGTGCCCGCAGTGTGCCAGCTTCCCTGGCTTCCTGAGGGAGCCTGTGGTTCCTCGCTGGCCAGCACGGTACGGCTGGATCCAGTTGACAGCCTCAGGGCAGGCTTATTTGTGAGTAAGAGCTGGCCAGTGAATGAGCTTAACTAGCCCAGCAGCTCAGGGAGCATCCCAGCAGGGCCCGGGGTCAGTGGCTTGGCCTGTGGGCAGCACAGAAGGGTGCTGGCTGCACGTGTGAACCACCTGCCCAAATTCTGCGGAGCTTGAGGGAGCTTTGTTGATGCTGAAGAGAGCGTGAGACGGGGTCCAGTAGTGAAAAAGATGGTTTTGCATGGCACAGGTTGTGCTAAATAACCTGAGTGCAGAGGTGGTTTTGTTGCCCCTGGTAGGATCATTATACACGGCACTTGGTTTGAAAATTCTTCCTGTGGGAAGATCCTGCTGGCTGATTGTAAAAATGCCCTCAGTGGTGGGTGGGTGTGCAGCTCGGAGGTCAGCTCTGAGGCTGGGAGGCTTCCCTGCAGGAGCAGCTCACAGCGGGGCAGATGGAGTGTGACTGAATTAATTGGAAATGTTAGTGCTGTGTGGCAGGGGTTGCTGTACCATAGCGCAGGAATTTAGTTACCCTTCTTATTTTCCTGCATTCTTCTCAGGGACTACTTAAAAACGTCTCCCAGAGACCTTATTTTCTAGCATTATTGTTGATCTGAGGGCGTTGCAGTTTGGTCTCTGCAGTGGCGTTATTGTAAACCTTTCTGCTTCTGGAAAGTCATTGTAACGCCGCTGGGGTAGTCCCAGCCCATCAGAAGCGAGTGTTTCTAGATGTTTCCTGGGATGCTGCTTAATGAGGCCTCTGATTCTCAGCGTTGCGCATTGTTGCTTTTAGTACTTACGGAAATGAGAAGCAGTTCAATTGGCTTTTTTGAAAAAGGGCTGAAAATGCTGCAAATTGTCAAGTAGGGCAATTACGTACGGCCACGCTGCTGGATGGAGCCAGCGTGCAGCTCTTCATTTTGCCTGCCGTGAATACCTTCTAGAGCTCAAGTAATCACGTGTTTAAGGTGCTTACAGGCAGAACTGCAGTTAACTACAATTTTGCACGTTGTATTTGCTAAACCTGCTATTACCCTGCATTGATTTGTAACAAAGGTTACGCTTTGATTTGCTTGCTTGTTTTTGTCTTTAAAACAAATCTGTTTTCAGACTGAAACGACTGAACCCTCCTCTCTCTGGTCTGCAGGTGGCAATGTCCTGGCACTGAATACCTGGGGAGCGGAGGCTGGGCCGCACATGCAGGCCTTGCACTTCAGTTTTGCTGTTGGTGCGTTTGTGGCTCCGATCCTGGCCAAAATGGCCTTGGGAGGCTCCGAATCGAAAGACCTTGCAGGAGCTGAAAAGACAAACCAGTCTGTCCCGAGGTCTGTGCCCACGACATCGGCTGCATCAGCTGCCTCAGCCCTCAAACACCATCTTGGTGCAGATTTTCTGTGGTCCTACGTTGTCATCGGGACCTATCTTCTGTCCGTCTCTTTCTTCTTTTTTATTTTGTATTCAAAGGGCAGCTCAGCTCGCGACAAATCCAAGGCCTCTCTGCAGAAGTGCACGTTTGCCAAATACCACTATGCTCTTCTGATTCTCCTGTTCATCTTCTTCCTCTGCTACGTGGGAGCGGAGGTCACGTACGGCTCTTACATATTCACGTACGCAAAGGTTTTTGCCGAGATGAAGGAAAACGAAGCAGCCGCTTTGAATTCTGTCTTCTGGGGCACGTTCGCCGCTTGCAGAGGAGTGGCGATATTCTGTGCCGCTTGCCTGTACCCTGGCACCATGATCCTGCTGAGCATCATCGGTTCCGCTGTCTCCTCTTCCTGCTTGGCCTTCTTCGCCAGGCACCCGGCGTCGCTGTGGGCTGGGACCGCCGTGTATGGCGCGTCCATGGCCACCATCTTCCCCAGCGGCATTTCCTGGATCGAGCAGTACACGGTGGTGCAAGGGAAGTCGGCCTCTCTCTTTGTGATCGGCGCGGCGCTGGGCGAGATGTGCATCCCCGCCGTGGTGGGCTACCTTCAGGGCAGGTTCCACCACGTGCCCGTGGTTATGTACACGGCCTTGGTGACTTCGGCCATGACCATGGTGCTCTTCCCGCTGATGTACAAACTGGCCAACTGTCCCGGCGAGAGCAACTTGAAAGAAATGAGTGAGAGCGAGGACCGGAAAGCTTTGTTGTCCAACTCAGGGCTTAATGAGGATGAGGAGGATGAGGAGGATGCGGGAGAGTGGAACGAAGCAGACTTTGAGGTCATAGAAATGAACGACACACTGAGAAACTCTGTGATAGAGACCTCCCGAAAGATCCCCGGGGACTCTCTGGCCAAAGCCTCCCTCCAGCCCCATTTGGACGACTCCCTGGCGGCTGCTGGTGGCTCCCCTGGGAGAAAAGGCGTGAATGGTGACCGGGAGAAGAACGATTGAAGTCAGAGCTGACCTGCTTGGTTTTTAAAGGGAAATGTGACTGAGTTGTAGCCGCTCTGTAAAGCGGTGTGAGAAGCCTTTTCCAGCTGCACCTTTTCCAGAGCTCCGCGTGTTCATTGCTCTTTGTCTGGCCCTTTCTCCTTTTGCATTTTCAGGCTGCAGTGAAGTCTCAGAGTGGGAATGAACGTCCATGATGACATGAATGGGTAATGTGATAAAATACACAGATTATACTGAACATGGTAAAACATGAGATGTTTTCTGAATGTGAGGCATGCGTTTCAGTAATATCTGCTGTCCTAAGAACTGACTAGGAAGGACAGGGACTGCTCAGACCCCTCAGGCGTTTGGGGTGGGTGAAGGGTGCAGTCCTGAGATGCCTGGTCACAAAATGTTTTCATGAGAGAGGAAAGAGATCTTGTTACTGGTGATGCTGAACTTTATCTCACGAAAGGAGAACGTTTCTATTGGGTTCAAAGTCCACGTGTGACCTTAACCAGGAAATCGAGTCAAATTTCAGGTGAACCCAGTGGCTGTAAACTGTGTAATAGCCCATTGGCAAACTGCAGTTTCCTGCTTCTGTCCTGAAGGTGAGAAAAAATGAAAAACTGATTTTTTGGAGTGAAACTGTGCCTTTGGGTCATGTAGAAGTGGTGTGTGGGAAGGGGGACAGCATGGGTCGTGTTAGTCTGCTATGATTTACTAAAACAGTGGCGACAAATCTAAGTAAAGTACTTGTGATTGTACTTGTTCTTTTAATTACTGCACTGCCATTGAAATCAAGAAATGTATAAAGAAGATGGAATTATATATAAACAGGTTATTTAATATATGGTATTGACATAGGGCTGTGGTATTTTTAAGCCAGTTATTTAAATTAAGGTTGCAGCAACTTTTCTGGCTTCCTGTGCCAAGACTTTACCATGGGGATGTGCTACAATGAAAACTGGAGCATGGGCACTGTTAAGCTGTACCGTAGGAGCACTTTCCCCTGGCTGGTTGGATTGCTGCCATGTGGGTTTTTCTTTCTTTGGGCGATGCCTTAGGGCAGGCGGTTCCTCCAGGAGCAGCAGTGGTTTGGCTGTGGGGGTTCACTGCTTCCCGCTCAGCACGAGGAGCTGGGCAGGAGCAGTCGCCCACGAGCCCTCCCCGGGAGAGCAACAACAAGCAGCAGTAATCTTGTCATTGGTCTACTCGAAACTCCCAAGTTGTAGGTTATTTTTTTTTAAGGCTATGCGATCAGCGTGTGCTCATGGTTGGCGTTTTATTTGTCTTTGCACTTTTATGAGTATTGTGAAATTTAATTTACTGACGAGAGCTCTGGCTGTAACACAGCACAGAGCTGTGGCTGGTCACTGTAATTTCGGGTCTGGTTTTGTTCCCTCCTGTTCCCTCTCTGAGTGTGCAGCCCAGAACCTCGTGGCTTTTCCTGTTCTGAGAAGTCGGTGAGCAGCGGGAATCAACTTGTAGTGAAAACATGTGATTGTTTTGCATCTTGCCTTGCTGAAGGGCCTCCCTCTCCCTCTGCTGTCAGCACAGAAATGCCAGTGCTTTTGCCTGATTATTCTTTTCCCCCCCGTGTGTCTGTGCCCTTCTGTGGCATCTTTTCCAGTGCATTGCATGACGCTGCACTTTAAAATACAGCCTTGGTTCACTTGCTACGTGAGGTTCTCTTCTTTGCTGGAAGTAATGGTAAATGCAGCGGTAACTGCAGATTAACCCTGCATTTCTGCAGCTTTCCTCTTCCCTTTTATTCTGCACGTGTGCGTGTGCGTGTGCGTGTGTGTGTGTAGGAAGCAGGGGGCGTTACCTGACGGTAAGGACAAATTCCGCTGGTGGCTGGGGACGGGGAGCGATGACAGCTCCTGCCCTGCTGCTTTGGGGGATCCCAGGCCCCCTGGGAGGGCAGGGGGTCTCCTTTGGCAGAAAACGGGGTTTGGAGCAGGACAAAGACAAAAGACATGGTCCTGGCTCCCCAATGGATGGGCTTTACCTGAACTGATGGGAGTGGAAAAAAGTTTCCCCATACCCAAGAGCACATTGCCAGAAGAAAATTAAGCAATGTACCTGGCAACCAGGAAGATTTTAAGTAATCCCTGATTCATACACTGATTTTTGGAATGAAATTCCAACTTGGAATGTCCTGTAAGATTGTTCTCAGGGACAGTTTACACTTCTTGCTTAATCAAGTACTAAGAGAACAGCAAAGCTGCATTTTGAAATCTCTTTGAACTGTATCTACTTACAGAGACACGGTTCCTGTGTTTCTGACTAATGTCTTCCCAACAAATGTAAAAATACTGTGCAAAACTGATTTTTTTTTTTTTTTCCCCTAAATTTGTTTTTACTGGCTGTATGAATTCCTGTGTGAGACAGTTGGAGTCATCTCCATTTTCCCCCTTAAAAGTGAGAACGGAGTAACAGCCTGGAATGTGACGGTAAGGGCAGCCTTTTGCCAAAAGTAAAGGACCCCAAAAAAGCAGCAGCAGAAAGAGAAAGAGGAACTCTTGTACCTATCCTGCATGGGTCTGTGTAGAATCACTCTGCGAGCTACATGGGCCTTTGGCTGGATGATGTCTGAATTTTGGGTCACCTCAGTGAGTGCTCAGAGCCTTCAGTGTCTTAATTCTGGCCTCAAGCTTGAAATGGCATGCACTTCTTACAGAGCTTGTTCTCTGTATCCCCTAAAAGTACACTTGTAATAGCAGGGACTGCCCTTTACCGAAAATGAAATGTTTAAGCAATTTGAGACTCAGACAGAGCTGGGATGTTTCCAGTGATGAGCTTTCCTTGCTCTTGGGTTGTGGTGTTCCTCAAGGCTTGTTTTTAGACAATGAATGTTCGTTTTCACGTTTAAATTTCCTTCCTGGCATATATGGTTAACGTGAGGATCTGCTTACAGTGTGGATCTGTTTACAGTGCCTTCTCCAGAAAGCTTAAACACTTAAACTTGCATGTTATGGGTGGAAACTCTTTGAAGTAAACTGTGTAACCTCATCCTTGCCTTGTTTCTGCTGGAAAAATCATCTCTTTGTTGAGGATCAGAGCTGTGGTCCATGGATTAGGTATCAGAATTTAATAAAAATACAATTTTTGTCCATAAAGCCAGGCAGGGGTTGAAGATGAGCACTTGCCCGTTTATTCCAGTGCTGAAGGTAACCTCTTGCAGCTAAGCACCATTTAATATTTTTCTTTATCCCCAAAGCGCGGCCAATGCTGGATTGTACCACAAGCACCGACACGTCAGTCCTGGCCTTGGCACGTTCATGCTGTGCAGGACCCGTGCTGGAATGCAAGAGCAGGCAAAGTCCTGTGCCTCCATGGGTGTTTTGTAGTTACTTTGTTTAAAAGCACATCGCAATCTGGGGCTGATCTGTTATATACTGAATAGTTTTTACTCTGCTTGGTGTGGGTTTACACTGTACTGGGTAATGTGAAATCTGACTGACGGACTCGTGTCTTGACTGTAATGAATTCTGAACTGGAGGAGGCACTCAGGTTCCTTGCTGTAAATAAAGTTCTGTTCTATTTTTCAAAGCTACTCTGGACGTCTCCATTTAAAAGTCGCTCCTGTTTTGAGTGATGAAAAACTGAACTGTGGCTCCTGGGCTGGGGAAGGCCTCCAAGAGTTGACACCGAGGTTTTGGATCCCAGAGCTGAAGCTGGAAACTGAACTGTGGATTCTAAACTGTTCCCATTGCTGTTTGTGTGGCAAACGAGGGAACCAGGGGTGTCTGCAATCGAGGGTAAATGTAAAAAAATAAGTACAATTTTTACCGTATCATTTTATTCAACTTTAATGTGGTTTCCATTATTAACTTCTAAAACAAAATGATTTCCAGTTTAGAAAACAATGCACTGACCACATAATTCCTTTTCCATTTTATACAGTTATACAAATAGTCTAAATACACATTTTGTCAAGATGGTGGCAAATAAGATTTAACTGTACAATACATAAGGAAAGAAAATATTTTAAGCATATTTAGAAGCAATAGAAATGTCTATACAAAACAAGCAAAAATGGAATAAAATTTTATATTTAAAATATTGCAACAGTCCCACAGGTTTGTAACAAAAATGTCTTTGCACAGTTCCTCACAATGCCCCATTAATAGCTAAAGCAAGACAGCAATTTTTAGAAAATAATGTTTCAAAATGCTACACATGATACTACTGCTTGCACAGTCTGATCAAAATAACCATCTACTTGGAATCGAGCAAAACTTAGGAGGAGATATACCAACCAACTTTAAAATTATCTGTATAAAAGTCATTGCACATTATTTTACTCAGTTGTTTGAAAAGTAAAAAAGTGTATTTACAAAATTTCAGACAAAATTATAAAGTGAATGGATAATATATAAGTAACACGTCTTGATACTGACAGTTCAAGAACACACACGAATGGTTTTATCGGTTCAAGAGGTTTTCAGTGCTCCTTCCTCCAGGAAGTAAACTTGACTTCTACTTTGAAATGGATTTACAAGATGTTACACAGAGCTATTTCAACATCAGCATTATAAAACAGTATGTTAGAAACATGAAAGAAAGCAGAAATTTGTACATCTTAAAAAGTGAGCTATTCATAGATCAACAAACGTTTGCTTTTTGTTGTTTTTTAATTTAGTTAGGATAAATGTTCATTATTCTTCAGATAATAAACCCGACAGTTAAAATGGAAATCCTGGACTAGATGAGAATTGGAAAAGCACCATGCACAATAGTCTTAGTGTGGTAAACACTGAAAAACAAAAATAGCACCTGGAATCCTGTCACACAGAGCTGTCAGAACTGGTCGAGCAGCTGGCGCAGATAGGGGGCCTTGGACAGTTCCCTGCCGACTCTGGACAGCTTGAACAACACGGGGCAGTTGAGGGAGACACACGGGATCTGCCGATCGAAGCAGCCTGTGCAGTTCTTGCATATCTAGAGTGCAAAACAGATTATTTTAAATTTAGCACAGGCAAGGCATAATAAAGTCCTCAACGCTGTATCAGCAGAACAGGCACAGCCCTTCCAGCACCAAGCTTTTCCCAGCACAGAGGCATCCAGAGCGGCTCTGTTCCCCACTGCAGCCTCTCCTGCCTCTGCCACTGCTCAATTTGCTGCTGGGGCCTGGCCAGGAGCATCGCCCACCAGAGCTGGCAGAGACCACAGCAAGACTGAACAGCTCAGGTTTGTCCTGCTAACAGAGCTCTACTCCTGTGTGTGAGGTAAATAAACTGAGTGGATGCAAGTGGGGATAAACTCACCCTGTATGTACGTTTCCTAATGAAAAAAGACACAACTGTTACTCTGCAATTACTCCCTACACAAGAAAGGGTCTTCATAAACTACTTCTGTTTCAAGATTGCATTAGAGTTCTACTTTCCAAGTCAGAGTTAATTGATCCCAAGAAAGACAGGGTTCCACTGCTCTCCTTCATGGGACTACTCCTTAATGTCCTTAACGCTGCCTGAAAGTGCTTTTAACATGAGATACCTGATGGGTTTTCCTTTGGAAAACTGAAGTCCCGTTCTTTGCTCTTTTATTTTTCATTCTTTCCAGTATCTGCCACCCCCAACAGTTTCCCCCCCAAAAAACCAAACCTCAGAAATTTGCTTCCAACTACACTTGTGTTTTGTAACATCAAAATGTTTACATAGTTTGAGCAACACGTCAGAATCGTATCCTTTGCTTTTAAAATTAGTGCTTTTCCTTCTTTCCACGTTAAAATTATTTGGGCACCAGCAACCTCTGTCAGCCCCGAGGAGCAGCCCCCCTCAGCCAAGTGCCACATGTGGCACTTCGGAGGAGACCAAGTCTTCTGACCTGCAATGTGATCACAGGGAACCGGATTTCAAAGGTTCATTCCAGGTTTGTGACCACAAGACGAACCTCAGAAATAAATAAGCCTACTCTCATTCTTTTGAAAGAGGCCGTGGCTGGTTTGAATGCAAGGGGCCAAACTAAACGGTACTAGAGACACTTTTTAAGTTCAGTTTGCATAGAGGGGAGAAGGCTATGGCCCTAATCTATGGCATGTGTGTTTTAAAATCGTGTACAGTTCAGTGTTGTATCAGCTTTCTGCTGGCTCTGGCATGGTTATAATTTAGAATAAATACCATAATAAGCCAAGAATGTAAGCTGTGAGGGATGTACACATCTTCATAATAAAATAAGACGGGTGCTCCTCCAGAGAGGCTGCGTCACCAGGCACTGACTGGAATGGGGTCCCAGGCCTTGCCTGTTGCGCATGGTGGGGACAAGAGCACGTTCTGCCCAAAGCCCTGGTCCTTCCTTGTGGCTGGACCAATCTCCGCACATTCTGGTTCGTTCCAGAACAAAAGCAATGTTCAGAGAGCCATGGGAAAGCTGCAGAACATGCATCACCGTCCTTTACTGCTATTTACAGTTCAGATCGGAGCAAATATTACAAAACACAGCAAGAAACAGAAGTCCACACCGCAGTAATTTAGTATTTATGGACAGTGAATTATGATGGTTTTCTAGCAACAAGGCCCCATGGGAACCTATCAAATCAATGCCCAAGACTGCAGAAACGTTTATATCCCTGCAATTCAGACAAGTCTTTAAAATGGTTCATGTGCTAGCGCTAAAAATCAATTTTAACAAAAGTACGAATTATAAAATATGACAGTATGAAAATCAGGTGAGGATATGCACATGTTTCTGCAAGGGGAGGCACTGTGCTTTGCTGTAATATATTTGTGAGCAGTCAGCTACCCTCTTAACTGACTGCTGGCTTAAGAGAAAAAACAGCTTGGGAAATTCCTGTCGAGAGGAAAGGTAACAAGAAAATCCCCAAGCTAAAACGCATCCAACATTACACATATAAATAAATCATTTTTCTGAGACAAACATTTTTGTCACTAGAACATTATCAGTTATTTTAACACAAAAAGGTGAATCTCATACTTTTACAACTGTCCCTCACTGTCATTACAAAAAAGCACCTACAAACCACGTTAAGATGCTCTTAAGGAAATCTTCTATTCTGATCCCCTCTTTGCTTTCAGCTTTGCACAAAGCCAAGGAGAGTAACAGCTGCTGTGCTGCCTTCAACAGCAACGCGGAAAGCAAACGAGCTATAACACGTCCAACACCCGGATTGCACTTCCCATTTCTGCTGAGGGCGTTCAGTAACGCTGCTCTGACAGACGCCTGACAACGCTTTAATCGTACCTTGGCCAGCTGCTCCTGCTTACGCTCCAGCTCTCGGATTTCTTGGTTGAGAATCACTGCCACGTGCTGTGGCTGGCTTCTGCATTTATTGCAGATCCCATACTGGGTCAGTTCATCGCACACGGGACAGTGTAAGGTTGTGAAATACTGGGAGATTGTGCCTTTGCGTCCTTCTAGCTCACTGCGGGCAGTCGCAGCTTTTTGAATCTGTTAAAAAAATAATTAAGAGGTAATGAGCTTTCCAGAGAGCAGCTTGCCTTATTCTTAGATTATGTAAGTCTGTTTTTTTTAAAGCAGCACGAAAGTGCAACACAGCCTGCAGGGCATGGGTTTATACACAAATTATTAAAGTGGACTGCATCACTGAGGAGTGCAGCACTTGCCCTGAAGTGAGAACTGATCAGAGCCCACCCACACCTGTGCAGAGCAACCAAACTACACAAATCCACCGTCATTCGCCATTCCTTTTTGTTGGGGGAATCACAATCAAAATCCGTCTACTTAACACTCCTCTTCCTGCATCTCAATGATTTCTTTAACTTTTAGAAAAGCCAGTTTTGGATATAGTTAGTTTAAAATTTCTGATAATACAGGTTTTTAAGGAAGTGTTCCTGCTGCTGGGGCATTACCACCTTTTCTCTAAAGAGGAAAGCTCTTCAGAACACCTTGGAAAAACCAAGAGTTCAGAGACAAGGCTGAGGTGCTTAATGCCACCTT